GGAAGAGAGTATTTATTTTTAAATGTTTTAAAATATTATTTAGGAAGAAATACATTAATCTGTGTAATGTGTGTATTAGTGGCACAGAGGGTTCTGCTTGATTGATCACATGTAAAAGGGCCCAGTTTTCATGAGAACTAAATGAGACAAATGGGATTTACATTATTTTCTATTCTCATGGTTCTTTGTATACTAGCTAAAAATCTTAGTACTAGCAAGCTGCATTTTTGTTTGCATAGCTAGTACAAATTAGCTTGCCTGCAGAAAGACAGCACAGCTTAAAACCAACAGGCCACTAAACTAAATAACTAATCAGAATTATTGCTTTTGAATTTCAAACTTCAAACATTCCTTTCAAACAATGTTGTTAGTCTAAAGCAAACATAGTTCATTGCTGCTTGCAAAGATAATAATGGAGAGTTTTAAGATAATGTAAGTATTTTCATAATAAACCCACATTTTCATGTTTTGCTTATTTACTGAGCTTTAAAATATCTTCTGGGAAAACATGGATACATTTTTAGTAGCAGTTAATGCTTTTGAAAACTTTCCAGTAGAAAGAAAGATTCAGTATAGAAAATAACTTGTTATGAAACAGTTTAAAGCATATTTTTTAAAAAAAACTTTTCCTTGTGTTATCTCCTGTAACAAACATAAAATTTCTAAATCTGTAAGTGATGTATTATCATAGCCAATTACTTTTTGAACAAATAATGTTTTAAAGAAGTTTATGCACTGTCTTTACAGAAAACAATTTTTGGGGGGGGGGTCTTTTTGAGACAAGGTCTCCCTGTAGCTGCAGCTGGCCTGGATTCACTATGGAGACCAGGCTGGCCTCGAACTCACAGAGATCTGCCTGCCTCTGGCTCCTGACTGCTGGGATTAGAGGCATATGCCACCACGCCTGGCCAGAAAATAACTTTTTGAACTCAAGTTGGTCTATCTGAGTTTTGTTAAAGCTTATAGATATACATACATACTACCTTATAGGATAAAAGGATCATGTGATATATATAAATGTTTTGCTATAAGTAATCAAATTCAAATTTACTTATTAAAATAAAATATATTAAATTGACAGCTATAGTACAACAGATTATCACTTCATTAATATTTGATCTCATTCTTTAACTCAAACTAAGGTTTCATGTATAAAATCATCAGTATTGCTAATACATACAAATATTTTTAAATTGTTAATTTAAATTGTTAATTGTTTTGCCTACATGTATATAAGTGTACATATGATGTTCGATGCCTGTGGAGGCCAGAAGAGGGTGTTGGATCCCCTGGAACTGGAGTTTCAAGCAGTTTTTAACAGCCGTGTGGGTGCTGGGAACCAAACCCAGGTCTTCTGTAAGAGCAGCTAGTGCTCTTAACCACTGAGCCATCTCTCCATCCCTAATCCATAGTAATATCAATTTACCAAATACTAAGACAAATAATCTTTGAAACTAATACATTAGAATATTAGACATTATAGTTTTGTTTTTCTGTGTGTGTGTGTATGTGTATGTGTAGTGTATATGATACATGCATGTGGGTATGCAAGTCTGTATTCATGTGCATGCATGAGGAAGCCAGGTGGGGAGTATTCCACTATTGTTCTTCACTTTATTCCTTAAAGACAGGCTCTCTGACAAAACTGGAAGCTTGCCATTTTGGCTAGACTGGTTAGCCAGCAAGCTCCTGGGATCTGCCTGTCTCTACACACCAATGCTTGGGCTACAGGAATGCACAGCCATGCCTGGCTTTTTATACAGGTAGTGGGGATCCTAACTCAGGTCCTTGTGCCTACACAGCAAGCATTCCTACCTACTGAACCATTTCCTCCGCCTCTTGGTTTTATTTTAATGTTTACATTTAAAATTTTATTTTATTTTATTTTAATGTTTACATTCTAAGCAAAGGTATTACTTGTTCTAAATGCTATAAATATTAGTCTAGATTGGTATGAAGCTTCACTATTCAGAGTTTTACACTGTAATTGTTTTATTTGAATCATTGAGGGCTGTCTTTTTCACAATGGATAAAATATATTTACATATATGTCTTAATGAAGGCATGCACAGAAGAAGCCTAGGCTCAATTCTTGTTCACATGCAAACAGCTGTGAAACACTAAAGGGGAATGACATATGACTTCTGAAGTGATCTTTTCTTTTATGCTACTCTTTGTAATCGCCACTCTAAAAGCTAAAAAGTGATATGGTGAATAAACAAATATTTAAATTTTTATTTCCTACCTTTGGAAGCCTCAACCACTTTGGATCAAGAATATAGAGGATCAGGCCTGGAGAGATGGCTCAGCAGTTAACAGTACTTGCTGTCCTTGCAGAGGACCTAGGTTTGGTTCCTAGCACATGGCAGTTCACATTCGCCTGTAACCTGTTCCAGGGGATTTGATGTGCTCTCCTGGTCTGTGTTGGTACCAGGCATGCAAATGGTGCACATATATACATGTAGGCATAAAATTACATGTACACATAATAAAAGAGAATATATTGAATTCCTTCATAAAACTGGCTAATGCTTCATAATATGTATACTACATAAAAACCCATAATATCTATTAAATATTTTCTTCATAATTCTCTATTCTTTACCAATTTATAATTTTTAATTGAACTGCACTGTCTTTTACTAGAAGTAAAGCTGCTCTAGAAGAGGTGTGGGCATGACTTTTATAAATGGACATAATCTGAACTAATGACTTTTAATTAACTCCAGCAAAACCATGTGCTCATCTGTCTTATGACCCAGGCACCCGATCTCATGTCCTTGACAAGCTCAATTTGGTACTCTATCCAAAAAGATAATGAATAAATGTGGGTATGCTGGAGAATTAACATATCCAAGCACTGAAAGGTGGTGCACCCATCTCCATGGGACACAGTGGAGAATGGGTAAGATGTGTGACCTTGAGTGAATGAGATATTCTAGGACTAGAGATGAAAAGGCCAGATGGCCTGTTAAGATTGGAGTGGAATCAAGCTTGTACTTCCTCAACTGAAGCTGGAGAAACCATTTTGAAGAAAATTCTGGTTGGGACTGAACTGGAGGATACAGTTCCAGGGGCGGAGTTCCAGCAAGACAGTTGATTCACAGAAATATCTAGGGGTATGGGCCCACTCTTAAAAACTGAATTTAAGAGTTAAGCTATTGGTTAAAGCAATTGTAATGTTGGTTTAGTAATGTTGTGAAGAATCTGCTCAGCTGCTGAACAGAACAGGCCTTTAGCAGAATAAAAGGCAATCTATGAATTAAAGATGTCTATGGGGTTGGGGAAATAGCTCAATCAGTATTGTGGTTGCTGTTCACACATGAGGACCTCAGTTTGATCTCAGGCACCTAAGTAAAAAACCAGCCTTGGTGACATGTGTTTGTCCTTCTAGCACTGGGAATGGAGGAGATAAGCAGATCTTTGGGGCTTGCTGTCCAGTCAGTCTAGCCTAGTCAGCCAGTCCAAGGTCCCAGGAGAAACCCTGTCTCAAAAAACAAAGTGGGGGATAGAAAGATAGCTCAGTGGTTAAAAGCACATACTGTTCTTGCAGAGGACCTAAGCTTGGGTTCTAGTATCCACATCATGCAGCTCACATTTTCCTGTAACTCTAGCTTCAGGGTATCTAACATTGTCTTCTGGCCTCCAGAAGAGAGGGCACTGTACTTATGTGCACAACTCCCCCATATGCACATAATTTATAATAAAAGTAAAATCCTTATTTAAAAAAGGTGGATGGCTCCTGAGGAATAACACCTAAGGCTGACACTGACACAAACACACCAGTGCACACACATCTGCACTCACATGAATAACACCCCACCCACACGCACAAAGGATAGGTATGCTCTTAATTATGTTACTCCTTGCTTTGAGCTAGAAATCATTATAAAATTCCTTTCAAATAGCTCTGTCATGGGTCAATATAGCTATGACAAAGAAACAAGGGAAATCACAAAGCTTTCATCTTAAAAAATACACAGGATTAACTGAAAAAATCTATTTTTCTCGTGTATACATTTATACTAAAATAGTCTTTATCCATATTTTTAAACTATAACTTTTTCTTCTTCTTACAAAGTCTCACTATGTAGCCCTCGCTGGTCACTATATAGGCCAAGCTGGCTGGGAGATCCACCTGGTTTTGCTTCTTGAATGCTGGGATTAAAGGTGTCTGCCACCATAACTGACTTAAAACATAACTTTATTCAATTCAATATATTGATTTTTTTTGTGTAGCTCAGATATTTTGGAAACAGCTTTACTATAGAATGATAAGTTATTACTTATAGATGATTTTTATGATTTTCTAAGTAAAAGTACAATGACATGTTTAATCACTTTACATTTATTATCTAATTAGCCTATTTTGGTAGGTCCATTTTATAGATGACATAACTCAGACTTGGAAAAATTACTCAGTTGCTGAAGCAAAAGTCTCATAGATGTGAAATGGCGTAGTCAGTTCAAATCTAGACTGACTCTTAATCTTTACACCTAAATACTATGATTTAGAAGTACAGATTCAAAACTTTATTTCAAACCAAACAGACCATACTGGCCTGCCACTATACCCTAAAATCTGTTTTGAACCTGGTGGTTTGGTGGGCCCCACTCAGCACCATGGTATCCTGCCTCACTAGGATAATTGTGACTTGTTGCTTTTCTCACAACCACTGACACCTCCAATGAGATAGTACACAACGTAGAAAAAATGTCCTGCCCTTGAGAAGCTTACATTCTAAAAGCACACTAATCCAAATACTGAGACACCATGAAGTGGCTGGGGGCATGCTTATAGGGATGACTTTGCAGCATGCGGATTAGGTTTTGGTGGAAGAGTGAACAGAAATAGACAGGGAAGTCACTGTGCCCTGGACAAAAAGGCTTCACAGTGGAAATAAGACTTGTGGAATGGTTTAATAACCCTTCTTTATTTCAAAACACAATTTTAAATATATTTTAATTCACTTCTCTCAGACACACACAAAATTACTAACCTTCCACATTCATGGCTTCTCTCAGAACTTGAAGTTTCTTTTGTCTCTCTCGAATTCGGTCCAATGCACTTATTACTGCAGAGGAGGAGGGCAATTCTTGAGTGTGGTATGCTGGTTCCACTTTCTGAGGGCCAAAGACATCCAAGGCAATACTTCCATCAGAATATCTTGCCTCTTTTTTTCTAGTGGTTGTTGAAGTCCATCCTGCCATTGCCTCGGGGTGACAGTGTTGGTACCTGCCAGTCTCTCCAGTAAACTCTTTATCAGCTGTACAAAGCAAGTCCATGGATGAAGCCCAGATCTTCTTCTTAGAAAGCATATCAATTCCAGCAGTAAGCTTTTTTTGTGGACCACTAGTTTTGAACTGGTAAGGGGAGCAAATATTTTCAGAATCTTCATGCCCAGAATTATCAGATGAAATGTTCTTGAAACAATCTTCCTCATCCTGTGTATCTCTGATGGACAGAAATCCCATAGATTTACTAAGCCCTTTGTTAAGAAAGGTCTGATGAGAGAATGAAGCCTTGTGTATGTCTAGTACATCAGAAGTAGAGCTTCTTCCTGGAATGATAAGAATCTATCATGTATGCACAGAATCTTTAGAAAATAACTGGAATGTAATGCACTACTGACACTGAAAGTGGTGCCAATTTCCTAAATTCTCTGGTGGAGAGCAGGTATGAAACCAGATAATGGCAAAGGTAAGAGTGGACATACAAAGAGCTGCCGACTCCCAACTGTTCAGAGTCCAGTGTCTCTTTTTCTGTTCTGCCTTTGCAGTTCTGGGGATTGAACCCAGGACCTAGTGTGTGCAAAAACTCCACCACTGAGCTATACCTGCATCTCAATGTCTCTTAGGTAGTAAGATAAATAATATATTGAACTTACTTTTTTGAGTGGTAGTATTTTTACCATCAAAGGTAAATTATTTGGTTTTAAAATGTAGATTAAAAATATGACAATGTCTGATTTGTAAAATATTAATTATCTGAAAAATGATTTGAGATAATAAATTGTATAATATACACTTTTAATTCCTAAAAATGTAACTTAAACATGTATTACCTGAATAAAAGGTCCTGGTATAGCCTGCTCTTTTACATACACATGTTTAAAGAAGAAACAATTCTTTCTATATTCTGGAGAGGAATAAAATTGCAGTACTTGGAATTCTTAAGTTCAAGATATTTTTACAATTAGGTATTTTCAGAATTTTTTACAATATCTTAGTGTCAGATAATTTTTGTTTAAATTGTGAAAGAAAGCTAATTTTTTCATGGTAGACTATTATGCATGCTAAAATAGTTTTTTCTCCTAAGAACATAATGTATCACTATTTGTTAACTACAATATTCTAGTTTTTTTTTTTTTTTAAAGAGTATGATGTTGTTAAAAGGAGGAACCTGGGGCTGGAGAGATGGCTCAGTGGTTAAGAGCACTGATTGCTCTGGAAGAGGACCCAGGTATGATTCCCAGCACCCAGATGGCATCTAACAACCATCTGTAACTCCAGTTCCAAGGGATCCAACACCCTCTTCTGACCTCCACGGGCATTGCATGACATAGGTTTACTTAAATACATTCAAGCCATGCACTCACTCACATAAAAATAATAATTTTTAAAAGCAAGAACTGATTCTGATTGTTTCTAACATTTTATTCAGATACATTTAAAGCCCATTCAAATATTAATTCTATGAATCCACAGATCCAACACCAGAAATTACATTTGTCCACTCCCCCCAAAAATGTAGGAAATATTTTTTAAAGTTACCACCCTAATAGTCCTAAAACACTGACAGCTTTCTGTGTTACACTCTGTGAGTTCCATTTGAAAACTTATGTGCTATGCAATATAAAGTGATCCTTCTTTGTAACAATACACTGAATTCATTTGAAGCTATTAGTCATCTCTTCAGGGAAATAACTATAAGCTTTAATTCCTTGATAACAAATTCTACCTTAAAATAGGAGAGTTAGTGCAACAAATAATAATGTGAACTATGCTTTCTTATATCCCATATTCCTGTGAACACGGATCTAATTAAGTATGAATATGAATAATTTCCATATTGGGACATGTGATATAAAGAACAGATTGCTACAGAATCTAACTACTAATCTAAGTTGAAAGTTCATAAACATGACTGTGTTACAGTACTTTAGGGATAAGTGACATTTTTACACAAATTGAATTTTGAAACTAACGACTTTAAAACTGTATCAACTTGAGACATATTCTTGGAAACTGACAGAATATGTAAGATAAAAACATAAGAACTAAGAAGAACTAATCGTAAGTCACACATGAATGTAGCTATCTGCTTTCTTTCTAAGGCTTTGACTTTGGTCAAGCAGACAAATGGGAAAATTTTGGCAGCACCATCAATTCATGGTCAACCACTCTGTTCCCTCAATACCATATGTTAATAGTAAGATCATTCACTTGTTACAGTGACTGTTTCCCTTTGCCTCATTCTTCAAGTTTCCCAATTTCACTGTCTTTTAGCTGATGATCCTATCTCATTTCCTACGAAGAAAACAGATGCCTTTGGAGGAATGCTTTCTCACCTTTCCATGACTAATTCTACCTACCTGTGTCTACAGATATTTTCCCTGTTGTCTCAGTGCATGAAATTTCCAGCTAGGAGAAAGCCAAACTCCAATGTGTATTCTGAGTTTCTCTCGGTTTTCATGTTACTAAAGAATGTATGGCTTTGGCTAACTTCTCTGCTATCTGTTTATACTGTCATTATTTTCTCTTTCCATTGAGTATTTCCTATTACCATACATAGTGTAATTTCTCTAAAAATGAAACGAAACCAAATCAAGCTAAACTTCTCCCATTAACACTTTCCTTTAGCTACTATCTCTCTGATTTCTTACTTTCTAGCCATTACTCTCCTCATGAGTCAGCTTCCAACTACTGTACACAGGGACAACCCTCACCATGCATCACCAGTGGCCTCTATAATGGAAGTGGACACTTTCCTCCCAGCAACCATTGATCCTGACGCTTGCCTCTCATTGACTCACTTTCTTCTTTTTTCAAGCCTAGCTCCCTCCTCCTAGTCATCCTTATTCTGTATTTTTTTTTCTTCTTCTTTACTGCATATTCAAATGTTAAGTTTCTTCAGGTATCAGGTTTAGATTTCATTTTTCACTTTTTCTTTATGTAATTTTATTGATATTTTAAATATTAGCTACACTTGAAAAACTCCCAAATTTATATTCTTAACATTGAACTTTTAGGGCAGCTCTTACATAACTGGAAATTCTGAATGTATATTTCATAAGTGCCTCAAACCGTACATGTTTAAAACTGATGTTTTGTTTTCCACATATAGAACAGTCCATTTTCTTCCAGACCTTCCCATTACAATATTATCCAATGGTTACTCAAAATGGAAATATAGACAAACATCTTTAAATGATTCATCTTCCTTAGCTCCATTAAACCCATCAGCAATCACTAGCTATATAAAATTCTCAAAGACATCTTATTTCATGTGCCAATATCCAATTCCCCTGCCTTTATGTCTAGTTAATAGCACTGCTTGGCAGATCATTGCAGCAGTCCCCAGACTGGTTGCTTCTATCAACTCTCCTTCATTCAGCTGCCAGAAACATATATTTTTTGTTTGGTAGTTTTAAAAATATGTATCTTATTATTTTTATTTTATACATATGAATGTATTGCTTGTCATGTTGTATAAGTGCACCCAAGTCGTGAAATGCCCACGGAGATCAGAAAAGGGTGTTGGATCCCTTGGAACTGGAGTTATGGATGGTTGTTAGCTGCCTTGTGGGTGCTGGGAATCAATCTGGGGTTCTCTGCAAGAGCAGTCAGTACTCTTAACTGCGGAGCCATCTTTCCAGCCCCATTTTTGTTTTTTGTTATTTTATTTTATTTTTTTGAGACAGGGTCTCCTTGTAGCCCCAGGCGGTCTGGAATTTGCTATGTAGGCCAGGTTGGTCTCGATCTCAGAGATTAAAGGTGTGTACCACCATGCCTAGCCCCAGAATTATCTTTTTTAAAATGTAAATTCTGCCTGTCAACAAATCATAAAGTTAGCCTATCATCACACATTAAATAAAATCTGGCCTCCTTTCAGGTATGTCACTTGGATCTTTTTAGTCTAATTTCTATTATTCTGTCCAAGCCACAGGCTTTTCTCTGTCAAGCTCTTATGAATAAGGGTCTTTGTACAGTTTTTTTTTGTGCTTCGTCTCCAGACCTTTCTCATGATTAGTTTCTTTTCATCCATAGTTTTATTTTAAATGGTACTTTGTAAAGGTAAACTACCCTAATGCCACTGTAATGGAAACAGATCATTTAGCAAATATATCACAAGTCTATTCCACTTGTGAGAGGTAGATGTACTGTTGTCTTTTAAGGTTGTCAGCATTTACTAACAATGTACTAACTGGCCATGGTATCTCCAAAAAGCTGTCTTTTCCCTGGCTACACAGGTGTAAATGGAAATGCTAACCACATGGCTCTTGCTTTACAGACACAAGGCTTTATGGTTTTAATGCAAATTAATTAGATATGGAACTATTTCAGTACATATTTATTTAAAATCCAAGAAGTTATGATTTTACATTCTATAAACAAGTACAAGCTGAGGCAAGAGGGTCCCAAGTTCAAGGTCAAATTATGATACATAAGATCTTGTCTCAAAACAAAAACCAAAAAAAAAAAAAAAGAAAGAAAAACAATAACAAAAAAGCAAGAAGGGAGTGGGTGTGGATTTGATCAAAACAACTTATATGCATGTATGAAATTCTCAATAAAGTTTTTTTAAAGTTAAAAAAGCAAGAAAATACAAAACAAAAATAAAACAATTCACTCCGAAGTTTGCCATAGCTTTCTGTTTTGTTTCTACAAAATAGGTCAAATATGACTATGTTTCAATTGTTCTTTAAGTTCTCAAATTGTATTTGTTAACATTATAGTCACAAACTTAAATCTCATGACTATTACTTTTAAAAAAATGATTGAGTATCAGAAGTGAGGCTTTTTCTGGTGGCCAACAGGACCAAGGAATGGCTGATGGACTAGACGGAGGAGCTAGGAAGGAAGAGAGATGGGGGGAGCGGGAGTGCCCCTGAGGAACCTGGGCAAAAAGCTGAAGTATGAAACAAGATTCAAAGCCAGAGGTACACACTTGTCAGAAATGGTCTAGCATAGAGGTCTAAGAGCTATGAGCTGCAAAAGCATTCAAGGGAGAAACAGTGTAGATGAGAGAAGGAAAAGAAAGATGTAGAAAGAGCTGTTTGGAGCTAAGCGGTTTCTTTCCTGTATCTGTTAGCCCAGGACTGTTTTTTGTTTGTTTGTCTGTTTGTTTTTTGCATTTTGGAAGAAAAAAGAGACATCTTTAGGTAGATATGTAGGCATGTGGTAGAGAACTGGATTTCAGCTGGCACAAATGCACCATTTTAATTTTATTATTATTGACTTTTTTTTGAAATAGTGTCTCCCTGTAAACCCAGCTGGCCTAAAACTCACTATGTAGGCCAGGCTGGTCTTGATCTCACGGAGATCCTATGCTCAGTGC